TGAGCAGGGCGCAGAGAGGCTGGTTGGCCAGCAGGAGGCGCCTGAGCCGTGGACCAGTGGGGAGGAGACAAGGGAGTGTGATCCTGACGTCATGCATTGGAGCAGTGGGGAGGAGACAAGGGAGTTGTTCCTGGATGCCCGACAACGGAGAGCTAATAGGCATAAGGAACAATTGCGCAGTTGCAGGAGATAATTGCCCTCAGCTGGTGGTAATTAGGCTCCTCTCAAGACTATAAAAGGAATGATTGTGCACATGCCCTTTGCAGGAGTCAACATATTCACTTGAGCTGGATAACTCTCGTGGCTAGCTTGGCAGGCTGGATTGCTGCCAAGGTCCTGTCTGTGTGTTAATAAATCCTTTGAAGTATCTTTGTCTCGGCGTGCTTTGGTGTAGGACGAGGGGCTCAGAACAGGTTTCATAACTGAAGAAGCTTCTTGGATGAGAAGCAAAATATCTTCAAGTAAAACAAGAAAACCCAGTTGCCTTTTGAAAGAAAGATCTTTGGGACAACTATGACATGAATGACTGAGAATCTCCATGGACATTGCACTCTCAAAGTTTGGGAACAAACTGTACCTCTAGAAAAGGTTGGGGGGAATGGAAGCTTTCTTCATTACGTACAATATCTCTAAATACCCTAAAAATGGAAATTTCCTAATTAAATGGCCTAAAATTGGAAATTTTAATCTAGAAACAAAGCTATGATCAAAATGGTTGCCATTTTCAGGAAGCATATCTTTAAAGTAGTTAACACTTTTAGGTTGCTTGCTAAATGAACAGATTTTTTTTTGTAACCTTTAACTACTTTCAAGCTGAATGCAACTTACTTGCGTGAGATCGGGAATATCGCCTTTGTCAATTCCAACTTGCTGTAGATCAAGAAAGAAATGAAAATAAAATTGTTTCAAGTTTCACATTTGCGATCACAAACCAAAGAGCAATATAAATCATCAAGCAACAACAGGTGAACTGAATTGTTAAGTGTAACATAGTTGATTATCACCTGACAGAGAGAAACTTCTAGAAGTTTTCAGGACTGAACACAGCCTTTTGAGATAAGCCAGGCCAAAAAAACAGACACAATGGGGCTTTAACAAATGCAACTCTGTTGTTGTACACCAGGAGTGTCAAACTCATGATGACACGTTGTCATTGCGTGACATATCGCAACTTTCCCCCCTTCCTTAAAACAGGGGTGGGCGTGGCCAGCGTGTGACGCATCTGGCCCACAGGTTTGACACCCCTGTTGTAGACTGTAGTAATCAAATTTTATTTAAGTGATGTTAATTAATCAATCAATCAAGCAAATAAACAAGTGTATTTTCAAGTTTATCTCTGTCCCATCTTATAGTAAACAATCGCAAGGTTTTTAGTTATTTTTAAAAATACATCTATTAGACTTATTTTACGTCACTCAGAATCATCCTGGAGTTTGGCAGCTTTAACAAATACAACAAAATCAAGATGATTTTTTTTTCTTGCTTTAATCTATGGATTGTGTAATATTGTTAATTCTTTCACACATTCTCCAAGTATATCTCTATTTATTTTATCTTTTTACAATTTGAGGCATAGGTCTCTGGGACTTCTTTGTACATACCATGGAACATTCCACTAAAAAAACATTCAAACATTGGATGTTGAAAACCAACCACCTGTTGATTACTTCTATTAGTTGATTGTCATTTATTTCCGTTTTAGGAATGTTCACTACTAGTTAAATCACAAATCAATGTACTATCATTTTAAATGTGTAACTGACATTAAATATAATCGTTATCTCTTCCATCTTCCGCTCTTTTTCACAAAATTCAGTACATTGCAGAATATTTGCAATCTTTACAGCCTACTGTTCTTTCTATGAATGTTTCACTTACCTCTGCAACTTTAAGAAATTCCGATACTCTCGTCATCCTAGTAAGAAACCGCTTATAAATTTCAAGGGCATCTTTGCACTGTCCTTTCTTCATTTCAAAAAACTTCTCTGGAAGAGATATATTTGACAATCTCAATCTCTAGTATTCTTCATAAGCAGAACATCTGAAGACTTGACATTTCACTATGAAGAAAAATCTTCATAAGTGATATTATTAAAAAGATGGCAGAAAGCAATTATGGCCAGATTTGTCTTTTTGTCGTATTCCACCCTGCAAACGATCCCAATTTCAAGTTTTATTTTATAGTATTCCCTAACCTTAATTCTTTTTATTTCTTTAAACTGAAATCCCAGGAAAATGTGCTTCTAAGACAAAATGAATAATGAATTCAAAAAAAACCTTAGCTAACTGAGTGTGTTTGTAAACCATTTGCCTGGTACAACTCCCCCCCTCCCCCTGATAGGAGCTATCAAAAACATGACAAGATATCTGTGCCAAATAGGAAGTTTGCTTCATTAATACATTGCCAAAAGCGTATGCTGAAGTGCTTATCTAAGCATCACTAAATACAGTATTTGGACAAAACCAGATGTTTGTAATAAAAAGCAAGCCTTCAATCCTTAAAATAGCAAAACAAGACTCTGGCCTTGAATTTGCTACCTGAATTGTTGAGGCTTATTCTTCCATAATAAGAAGAGCTGTGGTGGTGCAGTGGTTAGAGTGCAGTACTGCAGGCTACTTCTGCTGCCTGCCAGCTGCCTGCAATATGGCAGTTCAAGTCTCACAAGGCTCAAGGTTGACTCAGCCTGCCGTCCTTCCGGGCTGGATAAAATGAGGACCCAAATTGTTGGGTACAATATGCTGACTCTATAAACCGCTTAGAGAGGGCTGTAAAGCACGATGAAGCAGTATATAAGTACTATTGTTATAATGACGCTGGCAACTGGTGCTGGTTCTTATTAATTTACGTTGCCTAACTAAAGTGCTTGAGCACAGAGATGTTCCACATCAGTGGTGTAATCCTCTGATGTCTTCTACCGGTTTGGTGAATCTGCTATCAAATGTGTGCTTTGTGTGCGCATGCGCACCAGATGGGGGCCCGAGCAGCACTAAAAAAGGAACATTTTGAAGCCTTCCAAGTCTGCAAAGGTAAGTAGAACAGTGAGGGGGAGGGGGAAATTCGCTGTGCCACGCAATTTAGATTAGCTAGAAAGCAGGAAATCTGACAATTCTAGTTAATATAAATCATGCATCACAGCTGATTGTTGCCCAGCTGATCATCAGAAATACTGGTTCGCCTGAACCGGTAGCATTTTTTTACTACCAGTTCAGGTGAATCAGTCTGAACCAGTAGCATTTCACCCCTGTTCCACACCTGTGATTAGTTAGTTAGTTAGTCAGTCAGTCAGATTACAGTATTTCTGAAGGGAAAAAATGGTTTAGCCTCCTTTTGAAAGAATCTCACCAAAAATAATCTGGCTACAATCATAGGTCCAGAAAAGAATCACATACCTAATAAATTAATGACTCCATCATTGTAACAAGCAAAAAGCTTGATGAGATCTTTGAACAGAAGCATAAATGCAGCATTTATGACCCCATTTGTCAGTTCATTTGGATGAACCTGTATAAGAAAAGCCCATGATTTATTACAGACATACAACATTCAGACTAGCTTTTCTTTCTGCACAATGTAAAACATTAGCAGATATATTTATTGTTCAGATTAAGGAGTCTAAACAGAAGTCTAAACAGAAAGTATGCTTCTGAAGATGCAGTAAATTCAGCAATGCTAAACTACAAGAATGAACAGCTCAGGTTAGGCTGCTAGAACTAATGAAATTTAGATAAACCCAATAAGAAATTGAATATTAATGCACATCCTTTTGAAGTTTGTGTAACACTAATGGTGAAATGATGACACTTGGTTGTGACTTTCAATGAAGCGCAAAAAGGTAATTCAATCTTCAGCCTTCAGCCATTTATTTATTTTCTGCAGCTTGACAAAATACAATCACTTTCCTTTTACAAATTAAATGTTTCATGGTTGTTTTAATATTCCAAGTAAGAAGTGTTTTTCTGTAACCATAAAAGTTTAAGGAAAATATAAGCCCATACATCAAATTCAAGAAGTGCATCTATTTGTCCTTGTAATATTGGCATGCCCTTCAATAGTTTTTCCGGGGGCATCGTCCTCATTACACCATCAGCCCTGAGGAAACAAAAGCAAAACCAACTTATACATCTTATTGTATAACAAATACTTTGAGGCAATCTGCAACACTTTTTTAAAATGTTATATTCAATTCTGGATGAAGTAGTCAAATCATCTGCTACTGTCATCTGAAATTATCATTAATATTGATAGACTCCGGGAAATAAAGAAAAAATATTGTATCTAAATATTTATTATTATCATCAACTAGTAATTGTTAATTTTCAACCAATGCTGTGTAAATATCATTGTACTGAAACAATATAACATATTAAGGTTTGTAAAAACGTAAGGAAAAAAAGGGAAAGCTTAGTCAAATATATTAATGGCAACTCAAATGCCACAAGAGGAGTGAATTTGAATTTGAATGGATTTGTATGCCGCCCAATCCCGAAGGACTCCTGATTAACCTGATTAATAAATCTTCAAAATCTGTGGCCAAGCTCTTGGCATCTGCCAAAAACTGAAAACGTCATTACCGACATTAGCTGGTGGCTAAATATCCCCATAAGTCTATAGCAAGAATAAACATTATAATAAATATTACTTCAGGGCAATATGTACCTTCAAAAGGATTCCCGTGTTAATTCATTTTAAAACAGATGGATAAGATAAAAAAATGTTTGTGCAATAGCAGGCAATCCAATTTTCATTATCTAAATTATTACTTATGAAGATGGGACTTTTAGCTTTCCCAATTTCAGCTCAATTGTTAGCCCCAACTTATATTTGACCTCTCTTAATGTCTTTGTAATGGATCACCTCTTGTTTTAGGTAAAAGTCATGTATTTTTCAAGCATTAAAAACTAGAATCTGGGTATGAAGCTTAAATTTGTTCTTTATTCCCATGAGAAACTGAATTCTGGATAATCCTAGCTTGAGAAATGTAGGGTAGAGATCTTTTTAAATTTTCATGGGCAAAAAACATATTAATTTTGTTTGTCCTCTTACTACCAAAACATTAGCTTTTTTGGAACAAGAATTTGGATTGTTTAAAATAGCAAAATGACTACTTAATCATCTAAATATATTTTAACCTCCCGATTTAGACCCTTTAGACCATTAGCATTTTATGAAATGTCTATCAAATTTTAATACTTTAACTTAGCATAATTTAGTTTCAAATAATCCTCAATCTGCAGTTCAATTTTATAGAAAATTGAAGTATATCATTATCCATTATCCTTCTAGCTTATTTTATTCTACAATTAATATTGGTAATTTTCAAGAAAATTTGAATAAAAAGAATGAGTATCCTGTATACCAGATGGGATAGTTACCAAGGGATGGCTGTCCAACTTCAATAGTTTGGAAGTAATATATGACAGAATGCATGTTTTAAATTTGTTTCATGATTGCCCCATTTGACGTATTTGATGTTGGGAACAGTAATAAAGTTTAATATGTGAATGCTATTTGAACTATATGCTGAAAAACTAGAATTTGATTCCTAAAATTTCTGGATTTATTGTGCACTGTGGATAGCCAATATATTGTTTTATTTTAATGGAGACAACATTAAATCAATTTAAAATCATGGACCGATATTGACTTATTTTCCATTTATGAATTAACTTTGTATTATTTGTAGGGAAAGGCTGACTAACATTATTCTATCTGATCAAGATTTAATTTGCTATTAAAAAACTGAGTTGGTTCTTCCATATTTTAGTCCTTTTCTTTCTTCTTTGCATCAAGATGTCTTTATTTTTTTTATATGTTAAAGTAATACTTTAAAAAAACATATTGAATACGCAACCTCTGGAGTGTCTAGAGGTATAATCTGCTGCTTGGCAACAAAAATTTCTCCAACATGAAAGACTTTAATGAGTCCCTCTGTTTTGCCTGGGAGTCAGATGGAAAATACTATTCCCCCCCCCCCCTATGAAAGTACTTGTACGTAGCCACATAAGCCTGGAAGTTAGAAAGGGAGAATCCATCTTATAAGTAAAAGTTTAAGCATTTGCTACAGCACACCAAATTAAAAGCTGGGAAGCTGCAATGATAATTGAATTTGAATAGGTGGTTAAAAAAGAAGAAGTAATATTATACCTAATACAAACTCTTGAGATTTTGATGTTGGCATAAACAATGGTTTTAAACAAAAGCCGTTAGCCATTTTTAATAGGCCATTAGCACTGGGAAATGCACAAATGTGGTTGTAGAATCTTAGTTAAAAAGAAGTCCTGTATGAAATATGGCCACAAACCATAAGGGAATGAACCATAGGTGGTATTCAGCAGGTTCTGACCAGTTCTGGAGAACCGGTAGCAGAAATTTTGAGTAATTCAGAGAACCGTAAATACCACCTCTGACTGGCCATCTATTTTCTGCCTTCCAAGTCCCAGCTGATCAGGAGGGAATGGAGATTTTACAGTATCCTTCCCCAAGCCACGCCCACAGAACCAGTAGTAAAAAAAATTGAATCCCACCACTGGAATGAACCCTTCAGTGATCTATTTCATACACACATAGATACTTTCTGATTGCATCAGGAACTATAGTGCAATGTTCTCTACAAGAACTGAGTGCAAATCTGGCCTGCAGGAGTCCCTGACAAAGGTCATCTCTTAAACTAGGCTAATAGTCAAGTTCCTTCAAAGCCAATTTAGCTACAGGCACTGTTTCACTGATACTCTTCCCCCAAAGACATGCCCTTAAGTGAGAACGCAGTCCTATTTCATAAAGATCTGATAATGCATGCATGATTCCCTCACAAGGCAAAAAAAGGCACAATGGATGTTTATTGCCACAGTTCTATTACTTCCTGATGGGTGCCCCGATGGCCATAAAACCCAAGCAGTAACTTAGTTCAAAAGACTAAAACTTGAGAGGCATAAGACCAAGTACTAGAGGAGGAAGAAATCAAAGATGTTACTACTGAGTGGCCACAAATGCAAATGCAATTGAGGTATGAGTAAGATGTCAAGACTTATGGTTTTTATAAAGAGCAAACAACCTTTGTTCAAATACTGTTTTTTTGGCGGGGGGGTTCAAAAGTTTTATTTCTTTTAAAACAAACATTTCATCATTCCTCAATCAGTAAGACATCGGAGTACAATTTTTTGTGTGTCAAAATAGTTCTAGTTTACCACCAAATTCTTGTCCCAGCCTAATGTATACCCCTCCCTCCCTCCACCCTCCCCCCANAATGAGTAACCTGTACAAGGGACATCTTTTTTACGTTATTCTCTCATATCCATTTCTCCTACAACAGTTCATGCGACAACAGCTGTAGCAGAAGAAAATTCATTAATTGAGACTTTTCAGCCATTTCTACTTTAGACCAATATATGAAGAGTTGGTTTAGAATCAGTTCAGACATTTATCTTTTCAGTATCTCAAGTTTAGTAAAGCAAAACTTTTAGAACGAGAGAGAGAAACGGGGGAGAGGGAGGGAGGGAAAGAGAGAGAGAGAGAGAACCTATGTTTTAATACATGACTGGATATTATACTATCAATCAAGTTTAGAACTGAATAATTATTGTTGCCCAAATCAACTGTCCTTTTAGGCAACATGTAATAGATACACAGATGTCACATTACAAACACAAAACAAGCACACAGAAAACGGCAGGTATTATCTCGATTTAAATATGTCTACCTAGTCATGGTATATTTTATTGATTTAATGACAAATGTTTTTTCTTTCTTATAAGCCTGTCTAGAAGCTCAGTGACCTAATCATGACATGCCATAATAGAGCAGATTAATGTGAAGCAATTTATATTATTGCAGATTTATTCTTATCACTATGCTCATATCGATTCCTATGATGATCATATTTCTTCCTGTTACATTTCAGTAAGAATTGCTATTATTTATAGATTTTAATCTTGGGAATGAGAAAAGTCAACGCTGCCAACTCACCATGGCTCACTCCCCATGGGACAATTCAACAATTCAATTTAATTATTTTATTTTATTGTTTGTTTATTGTTTGTTTATTGGATTCCAATAAACAAATCCAATAAACAAACAAACAAAAATTATTTACAATATTTTAAAAATGTTTTAATTTTTGTCATTCACATTTCATTTTGTCTCTCCTTTGGCATCCTTTCTTTAATGATTCTATCTCACTATTTCTTCAACATTACTGTAACTCTTGTCCCTTGGCGAGTTGGCCAAGGTTAGTTGTCATAGACCTTCCACAGTAGTGCTGTATATGCTTGGAAAATTATTCTAGAGAAGTTCTTTGGTGAGCATAGCACTCATCTGCTATTACAGTAAATAAAACAGCCTGATTGTTTTTGAGCCTGAAAAAAGATGTGGCTGCTTTAAGAGTTATATTAACTTTTAATGTAAACCATGCTTCCAACAATCATAGTCACCTTTAGACTAGCATGGATACCTGAAAAAAATAGGAGTTATTTTAATAAATAGAAAAGAGATAATATAAAGTCGAAAATACTTCTTCTAAATCATTTTCAAAGAATGCACTGCACTAATACACAGCAATAATTTTTAATTCTTTGAAAACCTATTAATAAATTCTGTGTTTAAAATCAAATGAGAAAGAGATGTATGTGTATGTATACATAAGATGGCACATCTCTCTATACAAAGAGGTTCATGAGGCAGGGAATTAAAATTGTTTCAATAATACTGTAAGAGGGCAGGCAGCAATTAAATCATTGCTAAATAATCATTGTTATTGCTAAATATAAAATGCACAAATAATCATGACATAGAGAAGGTTATGTGATATACTGTTAAATGCTTCATCAGGGCACACTCACAACTCTAAATGTAGTGCAGCAGTAGTAAAGTTACCACAATAGTATATGATCAATGATTCCTGGATATGTTGAATCACAAGGAATGAAAAACAGAGAGAATTGCTTTCATTTTTCAACATTTGTCATCTAAGGTGGCACTTTCATTCCGATCATAAGGATGACTTCAAGAGAATTGTAATTATCACGTCATAGAATTCTACATCAATTTATATTTATATTTTTTTTTGGGGGGGGAACCTACTTGAAAAATATGCTCTTACTTCATACAGGTAGTTGTCAACTTTGGACCACAATTGGTACCAGAATTTCTGTTGCTAAGGAAATTGTTGTTAAGTGAGTCACCCCCAATTTTACAACCTTTTCTGCCAGAATTGTTAAGCAATTCTCTTTGTTAAGTGAATCACTGCAATCATTAAATGAATTAATTTCCACCACTGACTTTCCTTGTCAGAAGCTATTTGGGAAGGTCACAAATGGTGACCACATGACCCCAACAGTCTTTAATACGTGCCAATTGCTAAGCACAATCAACTTCTGGTACCCGCATGAATACAGCCATTCAACTTCCTGAGGAAACCACGTATACTGTGATTGGAAAAAAAAATACATGCAGACTAGTAATCTGCAAACACAAACACCTCCTGATTTGGTAAATGTATTTATATCACTTTTATCTGAGGAATACAAAATCTTAAGGGACATTTTAGTTTGACTTAACGGGCGATTTGTGATTTATATAGCTGCCTATCTCAAATACATAACTCAATCGTGCTTCCCATCACTTTAGTCAGACAAACAAACAAGCCAATCGTTACGTTAAACAAATAAAAATGAATGTGATGTCAAGAAATAATGATGGCCAAAAATCATGGGGGGGATTCAATAAGAAGACTGAGATACTGGATTGGGGGCATGTTAGTGATAAGAATCCTTCTATGTCCCAAGATATGGTACTGCCAGGCCCCTCCAAAGAGACCAAGCAAATGTGATGAGGCATTTTTACTTCAGCCTCTTGCTGGCTGGCTGGTTGGCTTATCACAATCTCCAACTGTGAATAAAAAGCTGTATCTGGCTTGTTCAGCTGGGAGGGGATTTAAGCAATGATGCTGCAACTTCTCAGTTGCTAGGAGAAACTATGGCATCTGGCTCTATGCTCTATACCCTGGCATTTTGATCTCACTCCTGAAGATGGACCATGAAAGACACAATAGCAATAGCAATAGCAGTTAGACTTATATACCGCTTCATAGGGCTTTCAGCCCTCTCTAAGCAGTTTACAGAGTCAGCATATTGCCCCCACANCTCTACATTGATCTTAGCTTCTTCTTGCTGAGCTAACTTTAAACAATTTAAATCATTTCTGATCTTAAGCATAGGCTAACTGGAATTTCTTGGTCCCGTATTTATTTTGTATATAATCAATCCATTTTTTCCAGTCTCGTTTATATCTCTCATTTGAATGTTCAAATACTGTTAACGGTAAATGAGAAATTAATTAAAAAATTATATTATTTTTTCTTAAGCCTAAAAATGAAAGATGAACAGGTGAAAAGTGGCCAATGATAGTTTGGGCAAAAAATTTTTGGACATAATATAGAATTAAATAATTGTGGGAAAGAAACTATAAATTGACGATGGCAACTACGTATAAAGAAAACTTGTATAAAATGTTTTACAGGGGGCACTTTCCACCAGCGGTGCTAGCAAAAATGTTTAAAAATATGTCTACCAAGTACCAGGCACATACTACCATATGTGGTGGACATGTCCAAAAGCAAAAAATAAAAAAAACTGGACGAAAATGCACATGTGATTAGAAAAAATGATAAGGCAGCACATGGATTATAAGCAGAAGTATTTCTGTTAGGCATAATACCAGAAAAATATGACAAAGGGAATGTATATTTGATATTACCTGTTTTGACAGCAGCAAGAATTGCATTTGCACAATATTGGAAAAAACAAGGAAACACCAACAGAAGAAGACATAATTAAACAAATATTAGACTGTGCAGTCTAATGGATAGTTTAACACTGAACATAAAGAAAAATAAGACACAAAGTACTTTCAAATTTGGGACTTCTTTTATCAATGTTTGGAAAATAGAGGTAGAAATTAGGATGTTAAAAAGTATTATTATGTAAACAAATTGACTCAGACAGTATGATGTCCACTAAGCACATATTGTATGTAAAGAGAAGATAAATAAATATATTATATATTTAGAAAAAGATGTTACTACTGAAACTATCAGAAGAAAACTGATGGAAAGAGAAGGAATTCAATTTTTAAACAGAACATGATGTGAGAGAAGGCAAAAATCTTAGCAAAATGTTGAACTCTTTAGACATTCTATTGGATAAACACACAAAAAACCTGTGTTATACTTAACAAATGGCAATACTTGCATGCCAGAATGCTTTTTAACATTTTTTTCAGTTTTATTCCTTTTTAATCATTCACACAAATGTAATAACAGGTGATTATTAGAAATAATTACATCAACAATACATCAATTTGTTGTGTTGTATAGTAGTATAATATAGTACAGGACATTGTCAGAAGTATTTACATCAATATTCAAGTTAGGTTAGGTTAGGTTAGGTTAGGTTAGGTTAGGTTAGGATAGGATACCACCAGAAACAATAACAGCAACATTCAATTAATTACACCGCAACATCAATATTGATACTAAATAAGGGCAGCTTACCCCTTTTTTACTCTTGCAAAATCAAATGCCATTTGTCTGTATGAAAATGCTTTTTCATTCAGATATCTACTGTAGCGCCTGATAAAAGTTGACATATCGTATCCTAGAAAAAGAAAAAATATGGAAAATTTTGATTTATTAATTTATTACAGTGAGTGAGAAAAGCTGATAGTTAATGATGCAAACCTATTGGATATTTCTGTCATTATTCCAACCACTCTAAAAGTCTAAGTAAAAGAAGGCCCACTTTTACAGTAATTGCCTAGCTATTAACACCAAACCAAAATTAGTTATTACTAATGTATTAGTATAATATATATAGCTTTTTTATTCTTTCTCAATCAATGAATCCAAATCTCTTCTTTAAATACAGGTCACATTAATAAACCCCAAAGGGAGATCAGAGAGTATCTTGTAAATTTCAAGGTACAACTAGTTTTGAATAACAGGCAATACTTGTTACAGTAATCACTGGTACACATTCTGATCTAAAGAACTGTTAAACTAGAAAACCATGGCTGGACCATTATTTATTGGATGCTGATAAAATAAAGACAAGCTGCAGTATATGTTTGATAGGGCTATGATGAAAGAGTGAGAGGACAATTCCTCTATCAATATCCCTGTAAGATTTTACTTAGCTCTGCAATGTGCTCATGAAATTGTGCTGCAGAGAGAGAGGCTTACATACAGTATAGCAGAATTATGCAATCTTTGCATTCCAGGATTTAATTCATAGAATCCTATATGGAGTTATTTTGTTGATAGCCTTGGGGAAAGAGTACACTACTAAAATTTCAGGAATCAACAACTACTTTCATCTTAGAACAGGGGTGTCAAACTTGCATCATCACATTGTTGTCACGTAACATATCACAACTTCCCCCCCCTTTGCTAAAACAAGGGTGAGTGTTTCACTCTGCCTTAGAAGATTTCCCCTTTTTCATTTTTTCTTTACATTCTCTCTTTTCTAATTAACCTGGCTGTGAGATATTTAAACTTTTCCGTATTAAGAGAACAAGGCACCTACATTCCTTCTAAGATACTCACATCAACAAACGTCAAGTGACAGCCTGCCAAACCATATTTCAGAGGAATTAACAGATGTAAGGCTGCCTACAGTTATTTTTTTAACAAAACATGTTTACCAGGAATTGGAAACTTACACTAAAACTGCCTAGGTCTGATATCATAGCAAAGAATCAGTATAACAATCCTTTGCAGAATATTGAGCCTGGTATAAGTTTCTTGCTGCTTATTAAACAAAAATGGCCATTCATTATCAAGCATCCAGCTTTATATTTTATTTTTACCCTCATTCGATATCAGAGAACCATATCTGGAACATAAACACATACAAATAAATTTACTTATATTAACTGCATAATCTTTATTAAATTAAAACCTGTTTCCCGGAATGTAGGTTTTTATTCACACACACTTCACACTAAGGACTAGTTTTCTGCTTGTTGATTTTCTTAAGAAAAATGCTATTTAAAAAAAAATAAAGTGGCATTGTTTCACTTTAACTGTGACTTAAAGTAACAATGAGGCAGTATCTCAAAGTGCTTAGAAAGGTTATTTTAGTGTGTTTAGAAAAGTACACAGAAATGTAGATTAAGAGCAAAGATAAATGTAACCTTTACTGTTTAAGTTTGTGATATTTGCTTTCATCTAAATATGTAAGACTAAACAACTATGAAAAAAATGTTATATTTCTGCTCATGTTATTTTCTGTAAATAAGCTAACATACTAAACTTGATAAAGAGAATGGTTTTTCTTACCATGTGATCCACTTTTGTCCAAAAAATTGCTGAGATTGAATAGTGTGTTTCTAGATGCCAAATACTGAATAAATCTCTAAGAGGGAGAAAAACAATAAAATTAATTATATTACTCTTCCTTTTTTATAACAGATCCCTAAACATGTTTCATTTCTGCTAAAAAAAACATGCAATATTTCATTACATAATTAATATCTAATTTGTACATCTCTAGTTATGTGTGTCAGCTTTTATACAAGTACCTAGACACAGATAAGGTAAAGGTAAAGGTTCCCCTCGCACATATGTGCTTGTTGTTCCCGACTCGAGGGGGCGGTGTTCATCTCCGTTTCAAAGAACCAGCGCTGTCCGAAGACATCTCTGTGGTCATGTGGCCGGCATGACTAAACGCCAATGACGCACGGAACACTGTTACCTTCCCACCAAATGTGGCCCCTATTTTTCTACTTGCATTTTTACATGCTTTCGAACTGCTAGGTTGGCAGAAGCTGGGACAAGTAACAGGAGCTCACTCTGTTCTGTAGCACCACCTTTACCTTTAGACATAGATGGCTGTTCACAAATCTGAATATGCACTGAATCCTTCCATATTAAAAAAAAATTAAACCATTCATGTTGTATTTAGACATACCAACGTTAGAAATCAATTATTTGCACATAAGACAAGCTTTAATCTAAAAATTAACAGACAACTGCATTTTACATACAACCAGTAAGTACCTCTGATCCAGGGGTGGGTTCCTGCCAGTTCTAATTTCTTCTATAGAAGAGGTTCCACAAATCTACAGTGCCATTTAGAGCCAGTTCCAGCTCCCTCCCCCCACCCGTCTGTACATCATCAAGATGAAGAGCGAGAGGAGGAATTCTGGGAGTTGAAGTCCACANTAAAAAACAAGTTTACATCATATTCTTATGCATGCCAGTGCTGCGTGTGAGGTAATTTAAGGTGGTTCTGACAAGTGTCATCGGCATCTTCATATCCGGTCACATGGGTGGCAAACCATTCCCACAAAGGAGGCCACACCCACAGAGTAGGTTTGAACAATTTTTGAAACCCACCACTGACTGTGATCTAACACATGCAACCCAAAAGAAAAATATGAATATGAAGTACAATTATGAATATTTCAAAAATCATCATTGAATTGGAGAACCAATCTTCCCCAGAACCATACTACTGATGAAATTTATATTGAAGAATATTCTTGACTAGCAAGTTTATACTAAACATTATTATATTTAACTTTGAATCAAATTTTCTTTCACATTTTTGTTTCAAAAGGCCTTTAAATGGAAAGAATGGGAAGGCATGCGTAATTGCAACAATAATCATTGTAGTACTACAGTATCTTATTTTCCAACCGCATTCAATGTGTAGTGCTCAATGGAACTGCATCTACATGGAGGGAACTATGCAGTGGGGTATCCCAAGGCTTTGTCTTAGGACCAGTACTCTTAAATATCTTCATCACTGATTTAGATGAGGGGATAGATGTGGAATTCAACAAATTTGCAGATGATACCAAACTAGCAGGAGTAACCAACACTCCAGAACATAGGCTTAAGATCCAGAAGGATCTTGACCGACTTCAGCATTGGGCCCTATCCAACAAAATGAAATTCAGTGGACAATCACGTCAATATGAGCTAGCAGTGTGCTGTAGCTGCTAAAAAAGCTAACACAGGCTACACTGAGAGAGAGAGAATAAAGATCACATGGAGTGTTAATACCACTTTATAATGCCTTGGTAAGACCACACTTGGAATACTGCATCCAGTTTTGGTCACCATGATGTTAAAAAGAGGTAGAGAGTCCAGAAAGAGTACAGAGAGAGAAGAGCAATAAAGATGATAGGGGACTGGAGGCTAAAACATATAAAGAACGGTTGCTGGAATTGGGTATGTCTAGTTACTGAAAACAAGTACCAGAGGTGACATGATAGCAGTGTTTCAGTATCTAAGGGGCTGCCAGAAAGAAAAGGGAGTCAACCTATTTATTCTCCAAAGCACTTAAAAACAGGACAAGAAGCAATGGATGGAAACCAATCAAGGAGAGAAGCAAACTAGAACTAAGGAGAAATTTCCTGACAGTTAGACTTGTCTCCAGAACTTGTGGATGCTCCAACATTGAAAGTTTTAAAGAAGAGATTGGACAATCATTTGTTTGAAGTGGTATAGGGTTTCCTGCTTGAGCAAGGGGTTGGACTAGAAGACCTTCAAGGTCCCTTCCAACTCTGTTATTCTGTTAAATGGGAATTCACATATTCTTAAAGAAAACATACCCTTTGTTTTTATTTATCTAGGTCAGTGATGGCTAACATTTTTTGTCGTCGAGTGCCAAAAGTGCATGCGCACCCTCACTCATAAGGCAATGTGTGCTTGACACCCTCCGCCCCCCGCCCCCCTGTGCATGTATGTATGATCCTCTGTGCTCCCCCACCCCCACACATGCACACACAATCCCCCTGCGCCCCATTTTGGGCCGAATAGGCCTCCCTGCTGCCTCCTGGAACCAAAAACGTCCTCCCGTTGCCCTCTATGCATGCACATGCAACCCCCACCCCCATGCATGCATGCACATCTCCTGCACACACCCCGCCCCCTGTGCATGTGCGGCAGAGACCCGAAAATCAGCTGACATGTGCGCATGTGAGGTGGAGCTGAGCTGGGGGGATAGCTTGCGTGCCCGCAGAGAGGGTTTTGCGTGCCACCTGTGGCACGCGTGCCATAGGTTCGCCATCACGGATCTAGGTGGTCCCCATATTTTTTGAACATTTATTTATTGATCTGCAATTGCAAAAAGTATGAGAAATACTGCCATAGAGCACAAGATGCATCATTCATGCTATGCAGGTACTTTATTCAAATCTGAATTGCACCAAAGGTTTTTGTTCTATTTCTCCTATTAAAAGAAATACTGTTCTGTTTAAATTATTTTAAAAATTTGTGTCAGTACCGTAGCTATGATTTCATCCGAACTCTGAATCACAAAGTAATCTTAAATGTGCTCTTCCCCATTTTTCTCTGTTCAGGTCTGCAGTCACACATGAAAAGTGAACACAAATGCATGGTATTATATAAGAGAAACAGCCAAGTTCACTTACCTTCTCATCGGTGACAAGTAGAAATGATCTCTAATAATAAGCAAGGGAAAAGGTGACTGCAAGAGTTTTTAGTAGTGCAAGATTCATTTAAAAAGCTAAGAGTGGAGGCAGACTTGATAGGCTGCCCCAGCTATAATAGAATCTTACAAGTATTATGATCTATAATGGTTTTTTTTAAAGACCCAATCACTTTCGTAATGTTATTTCTAAGATTCTATTATACTTCTGTCAGCCTATCAGGTCTGCCTCCACCCTTAGCAATTTAAATGAATCACGCACTACTAAAAACTCTTGCGGTATATCATACATATGGTTTTTCTTTTGTGGATTTCACTAATCGGGGAGCTACGGCTGCATCTAGCTCTTCACATGAATGCTTGCAATACTGAACTTCAATTGTTCATGGGGGGGAAAAAACCGAGCCTTTTTAGCAAATGCACAGACAAATAACTAGCTTGGGGGGGTTCTCCTTGATTTCAAACTGTCAGCAGAGGCACAGCAGGCCTCAATAAGAAGAAACGCCTATGGCTGACGAACCATTTCCAGCCCTATCTGAATAGGGATAGCTTAGCTTCAATAATTGATGCTATAATACATTCTGCACCACTGGGAAAAAAGACTCACGAACATTGACTTGAAAGCCCAAATTTGCAGCCTTTATAGAACTAGCTTGTTACTTAGAGGAGGGCTGAAAAGGATACATAATACTGGTTGCTGAACTGATGGGCTGGCTACCTGTGAGCTACCAAGGCTAGATAAAGGCTTAAGAAGCTTAGGATCCAAAAATATAAAATACTGCCTCTCCCAGTATTAACCAAGTAATGAGCTAAAATCAGGGGAGACCACAACCTGTGGCCTCAACTGTTAGATGTGGCTCAGAATGTCCTTCTGATATCCCAAATTCTATTTTACTGAGTAAGAAACATTGTTAGTCCAACTGTTTTAAAAAATAGTTAAAGGCATTTGCATATCCTGGCATTTTCAGAATAGCTATTTGTCCCAAGATCAGACTGTTTTTCCATTGAGCTCTGTTTTAAACCCTTATGCTACTATTATTTTTACTGTCTTGTTTTATAGAACTTTGCATTTATCCTGTTTTTTTTCCCTGCATTCTATTCCTAATAGTCTTGTCCTATCAATATTAAAATATTAGCCCACATTTAAGTATTATTATTCACTGCAATCAAATTGGCTGGAAAAGAGAGCTGGGGAAGTGTAAGTCCTAGATCAGCGATGGCTGACCTTTTTGCCATTGTGTGCCAAGGGGGGGGTCGTGCCCGGGCGTGCCCACTCCTATAATTCCATGTGTGCTGGCCCCCGCGTATGTGCACGTGCCCCCCCCCATAATATGCACGTGACCCCCGCCATCCCCCCTGGTTTTGGCACACAATGGCATGGTGGATCTGTTTTTCACCATCCCCAGGCTCCAGAGGTTTTAAGTAGCCTGGGGAGGGCAAAAACGGCCTCCCTCGCTCCCCCAGAGGCTTCAGGCGACTTCCCTGAAGCCTCCGGAGGGCGAAAAACAGCCCTATGGGCAATATGGAAGTTCGAGGACAGACTTCCAGGTTGCCCATAGGGCTGTTTGTCACCCTCCAGAGGCTTCAGGAGGCTTTTCTGAAGCCTCCAGACAGAGAAATACGGCTCAACATGCAAATGGGAATGGTCAATGGAGAATTAGCTGTGGCAGCCCGGCAGAGCAGCATACAGAGCCCGTTCCCCGGGGCTTTTCCTTCGGCTGGCAAGTGGAGGAGAGAGAAGCTGCTTCGGCCACTATCTTCGAGAAACCCCGTTGAAACCGAAAAAGCGCCCTTTTGGCCAGAAAGGGATCAGCTGCGGTCATGGAACTGCGGGGTCTTTTCAAATGCGTAAGCTGAGCAGAAGGAATGGCCCTTCCCCAAAGATGGTCTCACCCATTCCAGACTAACTTGTGTAAGACAAACAGGCAGGTGGGCAGGCGTGCGACTCTGCCCGG